GCTCAAAATCTAAATAATCTAGTCATTTGCCTAAATGATTCAGATTATTTGATAATTATGTTATTTGGGTCATTTGAATATAAATTAATTTCATTGGTCAAATAAAAATATCAAATATTATAATTTCACTAATTAACAATTATATTATATATAAAAGTTAAAATTTTACTAAGTTAATTGATATTTATATATTAAGTAAAGTTGTTTAGAAGAACAAATTATATATATTTTAAAATTTTATTTAATTTTAATAACTTTTTATTAATACATTTTGATGTTTTATATTTATATAAAAAATTTTTAATTTTTTTATATAAACATTAAATATTAAAATGTCTTAATAAAAAATTCTAATAATTAGATAAAATTTTTAGAATATATATAATTTATTCTTCTAAACAACTTTACTTAAAAATATACATATTAATTAATTTAGTAAAATTTTATTTTTTATATATAATTATAATTATTGATTATATTTATTTTTGTAAAATAATCAATTTTAATTGGTTAAAAAATATTATATTATTAATCAACAATGTCAAATAACCTTCTAAAATCATTTGAGTTTTGAAATAACAAATGCTAATCATTTGTTATTTGAGTCATTTGGGTCATTTCAGGTCATTTACCATCCTTGCTAATAAGAAGTATAACAAATAAGAATGTAATAAATAAGAGGTGTGATAATTAGGAGGATGTGACAAATACAGAAGGTAACAAATGAAAGAGTACCATAAAGAGTATATAACACTTTGTAGATCTATTTGTAGATCAAGATTGATATTAAACAAAAAAGTTGTATAAAATTGTAAGAATACAAATTTGTAGTTAAAAAATTATGTAATATTGCTTATTAATTCTGTTTTGGATAGGTTTGGATGAGATAAACTAGAGATAATTTTTAAAAAAATTAAAAAAAAAATTTTACAAAAGTAAAAAAGAATTTTGTAAGAGAGTTTTAGTGTGTTGTACTAATAAATTGGTCAGTTTTAGACTATTTTAATAATTTAAATATCAAAATAAAGCTATAAATAAGCTCTTTCTTTTTGTTCTAAGTTGCAAAAGTAATTTAATTAATAATTTTAAGATAATTTAAATAGAACTGTTTTTCAATCAACTCTTTTTAACAATCCTCTGACCAACAACAACAACAAACTAAACTACAGAAAAATGTTATAGTAAGGTTAAGAAAGAAAATACTTTTGATCCTGTATAAAGTAAGTTGTTGTTTATAAACCAAAATAGATATAAAACACTGAGAAGCAGGCATTCTTGCAATTATTTGGAGAGAGGTTAAGCTATTCTTCTTGGTGAACTCTTTTCTCTATTTGGCATTTCAACTAGAAGAATATTCTAGAAACAATTATAAAAAAAGCTAAGTCAGAACTATTGTAAACTTGAAGCAACTACTATATAACTGTAAAACTTACTTGAAGAACCATACATAAAAATTGTTGCCACTTACTTTTCTTTAAGAGAAATTTTGTAAAAGTAGGTAATTTAGTTTATTTCCTTCAAAAGATCAATATATAAAATTACCAAAATAGTTATCAGTATTTATTTTCTAAACAGGATTGTTACCATATAGATTAGAAACAATACAGCAATAAAAGCATAACTTATATACATGTCTTGAACTACTGAAACTTCATGAAATACTGCTTTCAAACTAACCAATGCCCTATACTGACTCTCTACATCTAAGCTAAAGTTTTATTCTATATAATTTTTGTTATATATTTTAAGTAAATAGAAAAATAGTAAAGTTAATTCTATTTAGTAAAGTTTATAATTTTTAAAAGCCTAATATAGGCTTATAATTGTGATCATCCAATAGTTATATAGTGAGAGTTGCACATATTTTTTTTTCTCATTTTTTTTATTTTTTTTTATTTCTTGCATTAGTATCTTTTATTGTCTACTTCTATATCTCTGTTTTTTTTCTATATAAGTCTTTTTTGTTTTTGTTCACTTCTCTATAAGAAGATATTATCAAATTAGCAACATCTTATTGTAGAGCAGTAGTTGGATGCAGTTCCTAACATACTTTAATTTCTTTTAAAGTTAGACAGCTAGTATAGACAGATCACTTATAGAGACTCATAAAAGTATTTACATAATGTTGGACCAGAATTTATACAATAATTTGTATGTATGTAATGCAAAAATACATAATAAAGATGATCAGCAAGACTGTTCAAGTAAAGAAAAAAAAATAGAACTGTTTTTATATTTAATAAAAATATCCCAATGAATAAGAAGTCTGAAGATATATTACTAGGCTAACTAAGTGTAAAAATATATCAAAAACAACCTTATTTAGGAGTTCAAAAGTAGTTTACTTAATAAAATATTGAATAATAATCAATTGTTTGCAGCAAAATTTGGTACAAGTAATTTCCAAAAAGAGTTAATAATTTGTCACTTATATTAAAAATTGTTAATACTAAAAAAATATAAAAATATTAAAAAATTTTTAATAAGTTTATAAAAAAATATTTTATTAAAAAATTACAAATATTAATAAAAAAAATTAAGTTTTCTATTACTATATTTTCATTATACAAAGAAAATTTCTGATTCTAAAATTCTAATACCAATAAATAAAACCTTGAAAAATAAAGAATTTAATAAAAAAAATTAAGATTAAAATCAAATAAATCTACTTATTTAAATTTATTCAAAAATTAAAAAATTAAAACTTAATTTACAAAATTTGATAACTTAAAAAAATAAAGTAAAACAAGTTTAACTTAAAATTAGAAACAATTATAAAAAAACTTAACTAATACCAAATATATATTACTTTTATTATAATAAATTTTGTTATAATAAATTACTTATTATAGTAAAAACTAATTTATATAAAAATTTTCTTGATATAATAAATTATTAATAGAAACTTTTTATTTTAAATACTTTACTATAATAAGGAAAACTTTTATTCAAAAACTCTTAGACATATAAATTAATACTAAATATACTTAACAAATTGTATTTAAAAAAAACTAATTTCTGTAAAAAAATTATTAGCATTATAATAAAAGAAGATAAAAAGCTATAAACAAAAGAAACTTATTTATTAAAATTCAATATAAAACTAAAAATAAATAAATAAATAATATTACTAATAATAGTCTTGTTAATTAATGCTTATAATTATAATAGAGTATTAGTAAAGGTATATAAATATTTTAATTTTTATATAAATATATGTTTAGTTAATATAATATTTTTAAACCATTTTATTATTTATATTGCAATAGGTAAACGGTGAGTCTGTTGCTACAACTAACCAGATGTCACGTAATGTTGCAAAATTGACAGGTCAAGGCTTCAAGGCATGAATTAGATTTGACGAGTATAAACTTTTATTTATTTTGTATTTATTTATTGTATTTTAGTTTCTTTATTTAATAACACCTTAACTAGCTACCACTATCTACTACTATTACTAAGGAACTTCGATCTTTCCTCCTACTAATTAGGGCACCCAAGTGATAAGTATTTTATTAAAAATTTACTTGTTTTTTATACAATTTCGCATTACTAACAATTTCTCTATTAAATTTAGTTTGCCCTCCTATTTTCCCACCATTCTGCCACTATACCATCATGCTATCGCGGGTTTCACTAGACCGGGTAAGTGTTATATCTAAGTTGTTTCATTTTTACTTTATTTTAATGCAACTATATTAACCCGCCACTCTGAAACACCGTATTTACGACCTTATGCCATCCCCGATTTGGATACATTCGCCTTGGATCGATTGTTTTGGCGTTGGGGGCACGATTATGCACGTTTCACCGTGATGGGGTCGATCGTGCATAATCGATCCTGAGTCCCGATCGGCGCTTGTGCAACGTATCGTGACGCACGAGCCGTCACGAATTTTTCGCCTGTAACAATATATAATAGTTATAAACATATTATTCTTAGTATTTCTAAATACATATTGTTAAAATTTAATTTTATAAAATATATTTAGAAAATATAATTTTTTATTTTTATTTATCAAACTAATTTTTGCTTCAATATTAGAAGCATAGATCAAATATTAATTATATATAATTATAAGAAAATAATTTTATAACTTTTTTTGTAAATTATTTATACTATATTTTTTGCTAAAAGCATTTTAATATTTTACTAAGCAAACCTTTATTTTTGTCTAAGTAAATTTACTTAGGTCACTTTTCTTCTAAATAATTAAATTTTACGTTTCCATAATACTTATTAATAAAAGTTTAAACTTCTAGATTTTGGATTTTGTTCTTTTTCTAAATATTTATTAATTAAATAAACTTTATCATATATTAGAAATTATCTTGTTCGTTATGATGATTATTTTAACATATATTTTATAATAAACAGATTAATACTCACTAGGATATTATCAAAAAAGTAAAATTATAATCTGACACGCAAAATACTTTAATTCATTAACATAATCTTTTTCAAAGTCAAAATATTTTATTTACAATAAGTTTTAATTTTTTTTAAAGGTTCCAATTTTACCAAGGTTTTACCAGAGTTTTGCTAGTTTAGTCTTTCACTATATTCGAAAATTGTTTAACCCACCAATAGTATTCTTGAAACAAATATTTATTGAACAATTGCTTCAAATTCGATAATCTGCTAAAGAAATATGACTCCATAAAATGTAACATACTAAGTCTTTAAAATTTTTAACATAAAATAGAATGGGGTCTTGAGAGAAATTATATTTAAAAAGAATAAATTTCATATTGCTATGTATATAGAAACAAAAAGAACTTAAAGTTGAAAATATTTTTTAAGTTGAATAAGAAGCCAAATATTTAGAGAAAGTTGACAGTACTAAAAATATGTTATCCCCTAATATATATCGTTTTTTCACCTTCCCGCATGTCTCATTTTGTCTATATGGTCAAGGCCTAGAAACTCATCTGTCAATGATATTTATTAGCAGCTTAAATTTTTCAAAATAAAAATCAAAAAACGAATATATATATTATTATCCTCTATATAAAATACTAATGTCAGGCGTCTCATAATACAAAAGGTTTATTGAATCAAGATGGGTTGTTTGAAGCATTTCTGACAGTGTTTGCGTGGTCGTACTTTCAATTCCAATTTTGTATTTACCAGTAGTTGGATATGCTGTTGTAAATCGTAATTTCAAAGGATTCGTGTTTAGATAAACAGCAACACAATTAGCAACCTGCATGAATTTATAGTAAAAATATTAGTTAAATAAATTATTAAATTCATATAGAACATTACGGTATGATATTTTGGCGAATTTCTCTATCAACGGAAAATCGGTAAAACATCATACTTCACTATAATGCCTCCTCATTTTATTATTCTTAATAAATATATAAAATAACTTTTAAACGTACTTCATCATATGTGTACTTCTTATTTAAAACCAAATCAAATTCTGGTTTTTGTTCCCGGTCTTTATGTTTTGGTTTAAATTGAACGACAATACGCATAGATAATGACTCATAGAATGTAGGAATATCGCAAATTCGACCTGCAACAGTATGTTTTTTTACTCTAAATTGAAGCAGGAGTTTTCTTAACAAAAATTGAATTGAATTGAATTGAATCACAAGGCAATATAAGGTTAATAAAATAACTTACTCTTGTTTTGTTAAAGCTTTTCGGAAGCAAATTATATCACCATTTCGTATCTCAGATTGTTGAAAAGTCAATTTTAGTTTCATCTCTTCAATCATGTTTGGTTTTATCTCCTATATTTTATTAAATAAATAGAACATTACTATTTCAGAACAAAGATAAATATATACGCAAAATACATCTTACCTTATATATTTTCAATGAGGTGCGTCGTGGAAATTTCTTTTTCTTGCAAAGAATTGGAATAATATCACCAACTTTACCAAACGTTTGAACATATACATGACACAGTCCTCTGTTTACATAAATGTAGAGATTAATTTTCATATCAAATGAATAAAAAAACCCAAAATTTAAATCATATACTCTAGAGATTGTGTATCGGGATTAAAGTATTTGATGAAAATCATTCTATGAGAATTCCCATCCGTTTTTCGGAACCATGTCTACGTATTAAATAAACGATTAAAAATAAATATCTAATAACGTATACAATATATTAAATACTGAGTACTTTGCCGATAATTGGTTTATCTGCCACTTCCAAAAATAATTTCATTTCATTTTGTCTTGGAGCCATTTTCATATAAATTTCTTCCATTACTATTTATCATAAGAATTTATAAAAGGTTATTATGAATGAAGAGAAAAGAACCAATTTTTTTAACCTACTTAAGCCAGGCCAATGGGCTTGTATTGGGGTATCTGGTCTAACAGTCTTATTTTGGCGATTTGCAAAAACCCAAAACCTCATTTGATCTTCCGAAATCCCAAAATGATGAGCAACTTGTGCTTTGAAAATCCCATATGCATCACTTTTCAAAACCTTCAATTGTAGAACATCAGATAGTGGATATTGTTGATCGTCAAAATTAGCGAGATCAAACCCTTGATGGTGCGCAAAGGTAGTTAAAGTCACAATCTAATATTTAGTTGGGCAAAGTTTAAACTGTAATAATCCAAATTTATTAATACCATAATGCCGTTACGCAATTACCTTAATAGTCAAATATAAATGACGCTCTTCAGCTTCTTTTTTTTTCTTTTCATATAAAACCTTCTCTTCAGCTAAGCGTTTTTCTATTAAATATTCATGTGAAAGATAAATTCACAACGTTTCAAACTACAGCGCTTCATAAATGAGTATACTTACGCAAATTTTCGGGTATGTCTTTATAAAGCACAGGTGACTGTACAAAGTCGATATCAGATTCATGGATATATACCAATATATATGCACTTGTTCCAATTGCTATTCCACCTCCGTAATTATCTTCAAGTACTTCTTTATCTATTACAGATATAACTCTGTCATCATCAAATTTGAACCTTTTATGACAATTAATGTTAATATCTAACTTATTATTACAAAAGATTTTAATTTATTTGTTAAAATTCAGACCATTTGCCATTCTTCTCTGGTTTTAAAAAAGCATAATAGCTGCCTTCATGTAAATCACCACTATGAACAATTACTCTAAATATAATAAAAAAGACTATTAATAAAAAGCCATTAATATCATATACTGTACATTGAAAATATTTAATCCATATTTACAAACCCATGAAGTAAATAATTATGTGGCTTTGACTCATTGTTATCTGATGATAAATAGTTTTGTAAATCAATTTCCATTGGATATTCAAGACAGTCATTTATCTATGTATAATATGTATTAGTATATGGTATAATTTTTTAATCAACAAATTACTGAATTAAAGGCTAGAGATCATGATAAATACCTTAACTGTAGCATCTCTTTTCATATCATGTTCAAACCGTTTTAATTGTATTCGTAGTACTGGTGGAAAACTTTCAAAAATTACTCCTTTCTTTGCATTCTATAGCAATTAGAGTCAAAGCATTTGTATTTAATGTAATTTTCAGCAAAATTGTGACCAAAACATAACTCACTTGTAAACCATATGTTTCAGTTTTGTATTTATTATTTTCTTCACAAGATTCTTCACGAATATATTCTAGAAAAGAATCATTTAAAGTTTTGCACCCTTTTACATTGAGTTGAATATCTATAGTAATAAAATTAAACGTTACTTAAAACTAATTTTGAAATTTATGTGTTTATATATTTGCTACTATATACCATAGTAATCTTCAATATGAGAACTTTCATAATTTACATTGACACATTTAACATAACTCTTCATCTTTCCTATAAATAGTTTGGAAATAGCATCCTTAAATCCAAATATAAGTGTTATCCAATTTATTATAAGAAAATTTAATGGTTTGAATGTGGTTTAATTCAATAAATAATGTGCCCACCTTCATTTTATACTCTAAATTACCTAGTAGCAATCTATTAAATTCCTGCGCATCATATGGTATAAAACTATCTATCGCATTCCATCCTAAAGTTCTCGTTAATTCTGTCGTTTCAACTGGAGTATTTGATTCTTCTAATTGATAAAAAATCCTTTGCATAGCCAAAGGAATACTTTTATTTGGATCATCATCTTCTGTGGGGATTTGATATATCGCCTATAATTAAGAACATAGCCATCATTAGATCTGATGAAAAATGAGTTGTTTCAGATCAAATAGAGGCACTTACCTTGCAAAAATATTTTATGCTATATAATAATTGCAACTCGACATTTAAATAACTTGTTGCTCCTTGATTTTTTAGGCCAACGTATTCTTTCACTTCTTCTTCATAAACTAAAAAAAGGTCAATTTATGAAATATAGTAAAGATAAAACACTTTGTAACGCATTTATTGTTAAAAGATTTATAATGAACTAATTATACCATATTCTTCTATTTATGAAATATGCCAACAGATCAAACATTAACTTTGTAACTCAATTCTAGCTAAAAAAATTTTCAAGATTTATAATGAACTAATTATACCATCTTCTACATAAAAATCGCCACCTATTTATGAACAATAACTTTATAACGCAATTAATTAAATGATTTTTCCAAGATTTATGATGAATCAATTATACCATATTCTTCTATTTATGAAATATGACAACATATCAAAAATTAACTTTGTAACTCAACTTTAGCAAAAAAAAAAATTTCAAGATTCATAATGAACTAATTATACCATCTTCTACATAAATGTCGTCATCTATTTATGAAATCAGATAAAACATTAACTTTATGAAGCAATTAGTTAAAAGATTTTTTCCAAGATTTATAATGAATCAATTATACCATATACTGGAATTTATAAAATATAACATCAGATAAGCATTAACTTTGTAACTCAATTCTAGCTAAAAAAAAATTTCAAGATTTATAATGAACTAATTATACCATCTTCTACATAAATGTCGCCACCTATTTATGAAATCAGATAAAACATTAACTTTATAACGCAATTAATTAAATGATTTTTCTAAGATTTATGATGAATCAATTATACCATATACTGCAATTTATGAAATATGGCAACAGAGCAAACATTAACTTTGTAACTCAATTTTAGCAAAAAAAAAAATCTTCAAGATTTATAATGAACTAATTATACCATCTTCTACATAAATATCGCCACCTATTTATGAAATCAGACAAAACATTAACTTTATAACGCAACTAGTTAAATGATTTTTTCTAAGATTTATGATGAATCAATTATACCATATACTGCAATTTATGAAATATAGCATTAATTTTATAACGCAATTATAGTTAAAAGATTTATGATCAACAGTTTATACTGATTATAATGCTATAAAACATACTATCCATAATCTGATTAGTTATTTTGAGAAAATGAAACTTTGTATATAAAGATAATATGTAAGTGACTGTGAATTTTTAGAAATCATTATAAATACTTTATTTTGGTTTTACAACTTAGTCAATCTTTAAATGAATTACCATATAATAGTTACACCGCATTGCAATTTGGGATATTTCTTTGAAGGTTTTCTATTTACATTTTAGTGCATATGTAGGTACGTAGTCTGGTTTGTGACACGAGAGAATCTAAATTAGTGTTCCGTATGGACGGTTCCGGGCGGGTTTTTTTAAGAATCCGAAAAATCGAACTGTCCAATCAGATTTCAAGATCAAGTATTACGCAAAAAAAATCAAAACAAACCAAAAAATCGAACTGTCCAATCAGATTTAAAGATCGGGTATTACACAATAAGTAGTTGCGCAACGTTGTCGTGCAAAACCAGGAACGGGAGAAATCTATGCAGGCACTAGAGATGGGCACGCGCGGGATTTTTAATATGATCCTGAAATAAGATTATTTGGCCTGCATTACCATAATACAGTATCTGGCAGCATAAATATAATATTTGACCTGCATTAACATATTTAGCTAATTCCTAATTAAATTTATTTGCATACTATTTCACACATATGTTTATTTATATATATGATAAGAATTTACCTTATTTGCCGTTGGTATCTTTCGCTTACGTTACAAAAATATTCTTTATGATTAAGTCACTCTTTTAAAAATAAATAACATGCATAGCAATAATAATATTTGGAATTATCTTACAAAAATTGAATCATATGAAACCTTTTGACCAAAGACGTGCTTAATGTAATTACTGCTATTAAACCTTGCAAAAAATACGTGGAAATTCACTAATCTGATTGGCCAATGGCACTGACCAAAAATTTAGGCAAAATTACTCAAATTTTTATAAAGAAATCGTGGCCGCCCATTAAGTGAAATTAATGAATCCCACGCGGGATTTTTGGAGAAACCACAATTTGCCCATCTTTAGGTACTATATATTCCATGAAATTACATGTACTGTAAATTCGTAAAATGTAATGTTAAACTCTAAGTCAAATATGTTCCTGGGTTAATTTTACCATTATACAGACCCAAACCTTAAACAATTAAAAAATTAAACTCCGGTCAAAATTATGTATAATGCAGACCAAAATTTTGTCAATCACAGCTATTGGTCAATCAAAATTGAGGTTCAACTGTGTGGGATTTTTTGAAAAATGGCGATTTGCCCATCTCTAGCAGGCACCATTTCAGTCACGAGAAACCATATTCTTTATTGCAAGCCATTCCTGAAAATGACTCTTTATAAAAGAAGTCGATAGTACTTGCAATCTGAATATTGGTTTAAATTTCAGTGACTGATCCCAAAAACCTATTGATTAAAGATGGGCAAATTGCAGTTTTTCAAAAAATTCTGCATGTCATGTGTGGGATTCATTAAATCTAGATGCCACATGATTGAACCTCAATTTTGATTTTCCAGCAGCTGTGATCAACAAAACTTTGGCTGCATTACACATAATTTTGGCTGAAGTTTAATTTTTTAATTGTTTAAGGTTTGGGTTTGTGTGATAGTAAAATTAACCCAGGAACATTTGACTTAGGGTTGAAAATACATTTTTCAAATTTACAATACATGTAATTTCACAGGATATATGGTACCTAGAGATAGGTAAATCATGGTTTCTCCAAAAATCCTATACGGAATTCATTAAATCACAAAATTTTAAACCCTAATTTCACTTAATGGGTGGCTATGATTTCTTTATTAAAAATTTGAGTAACTTGTCTAAATTTTTTGTTGTTGTCATTGGTTAATCAAAATAGTGAATTTCTACATATTTTTTGCAAGGTTTAATAGCAGCAATTACATTAAGCATGTCTTTGGTCAAAGATTTCATCTGATCCAATTTTTGTTAGATGATTACAAATATTATTATTACTACACATGTAATTTATTTTTAAAAGAGTGGCTTAATTATAAAGAATATTTTTGTATTGTAAATGAAAGATACTGATGGCAAAGAAGATAAATTCTTATTGTATATATAAATAAACATATATATAAAATAGTATGCAAATAAATAAATAAATTTTAATTAGGAATTAGCTAAATATGTTAATGCAGATCAGATATTATATTAATGCTAATCAGATTTTATAATAATGCCAGCCAAATAATTTTATTTTAGAATTATAATAAAAATCCTATACATGCTTATCTCTACTATTGATGAAGTTGATGTTTGACTGCTTTATAGACAAAACTTCATCTGATTGGCTAATAAATTCAAGTTGATTTTACATTATTTATACAGTTTAGAATACTTTTTAAAAAAATGAAAACTAACTATAATAAAGTAAAAAAAAACTAAATAGACAGTTTTATTAGAGCTGTAGGACTTTATAATTAAAAATAAAATCTAATTCTCTTCTAATTAAAAATATTAACTTAGTAATAAGTTAATTCTATTATGTTTTAAGAAGTTATTACTATAGAAGGTATGATGATCTAGTGAAATAGATAGGTTGTTAACCTTCAAAGGCAGGTTTAAAGTTCAAATTTCAGTGATAGTAAAAATTTGCAATTCTTTTTGTATTACAGTTAACTGTTTTTTATGATTAGTTAGGATTAGATACTTGTAACCTGTGTTATATTAACATAACTGAAAAGTTTAGACTATACTTGTTACCTGAAACCCAAAACCTTTCTGAAACTTTAAAATTGAAATATTAATAATTAATACACATTTACTATAAAGTAAACGAAATTTTCCTGAAATGCAATCTAATTATACTATACTTTAAGTCTTAATGTTTAAAATTAAATTTTTAAGCCTTTCAGTATAGTGTTAAAGTTTTGGAAAGAGTTTTAGATTTCAGTTTCAGTTTCAAGATTTTATATATAGTTTCAGGTTTCAGATAACAACTATAGTTTAGACATTCATACAATATTGTATGAAAGAACACAAATCAGTACCAGGTGGTATGAACTCAAGATAAGTTCTTAGGTTATATAAATTATGAGAACTAGATAGAAAGATAGAAATCTACTTGAAAGACCTGAGTAGAGAGGTAACCTAAAGTTTTAATGGTGTTATTGTAAAGACTAGACCTATAAAACAGAGCTAAAACTTATAAAACTAATCAAATGTGTTAGTCTTTGAGAAGGAACTGGATGAACCAACCAGGTCATTAAAATTTCTGTATTTCAGAAGAAAAGAGTACATGTCAGCAAATATATAAATCAGAAATATGGTTATAGTCTACCTTTCTAGGCTATCTGGAATAGCAACTTAGTGAAACTTAAATTAAATACCAAAGTAGTAGAAATATGTTGTGAAGTTAGTACCAGAGTTGGGATAAACTTTACAAAGAAATAGCAGTTTAATGGTATGCCCTGACCACCAGTGTTGGTCTTGGCCATAGTAATACCAGGTCAGCTATAAGAATAGGATGCAGAAAATTCTAAAAGGTTTAGTACAATGGCAAAGGTTTTAAAGAACTGCTTTAAAAACTTAGTACCTATGGCATATTTTCATTAGTATCAGCTAGAGTCATTAGTAGGCAGAGGTAAGTAGGTGAATATGAAAACTAGAGTGGTTAAATAGAGAGCCTATAAGCAGGTTTCAGATATAACAGCTAGTATAAAACCTTTAAGCAGACTATTTAAATTAGATAATAACTAAAGTTGTACAAGTAGCTAGTTGTACACTCTTTCTATGATTGCCTTTAGTTGTTATAATACAACTATTAGCCAAATATACTATTAATAAAATCCTGAATTGCAAGTACTCACCTTAATATTTAAAAAATAAAATTTATTACTATATTAACTTTTTTAGACAAACAAGAATTAGATCTTATTTTTGATTATAAAGTTCTACAGCTTTAATGTAACCTTATATACAGATTTTTTTTATTTTATTATAATTAGGTTTTGTTTTTTAAGAAAATTATTTTGACTATATAAATAGTATAAAATTAATTAAATTTATTAGCCAGTCAAACAAACTTATATAGTTGATTAGTTAGCATTATCTAGTTCTGATAAATTTGATCCAAAATTCTGGAGCCTTGCAAAAAACATTAAAATTTATAAAATATAGTGTTGTTTAATAAGTTAAAAAGTCTGTCATTAATTTATTCCAATTCTCATATAACCTATAGCAGCTAAGTATAAATATGCATATTAGATTTGGCTAATTGGTTTATTTGCAGATAAGTAGTGCAGTAATAGACTAACAGCTATATTGATCATTTATCTAAAATAGGTTTACTGATAGTATATACTATATTTGCTATATACTATATATTTTATGCATTAAGTAAATAATGGATATCAGTAGAATCAAATGTATAATTAAAATAAACAGTATAAACAGTATATCAGTATAATAAGTATAAACATTATAATTAGTATATATGAGATAATAAATATATATACTATATTATAAATAGAATATAAAAATATATATTATATAAAAGAAAGTATATAATAAGGCTTTAAGTTATATAAAGAGGAGTTAGTTGTTCATAATTTATAAAAACTTCTGTTCTTTAATAAAAAAAATCTTGCTTTCATTTTTAATATAATATCTATAATACTACTTACCAAATCCAACTGCCTATTATTGACTAAGCTATTCATAGATTATATAATATATCTATTTGAGAAGTGACTAACTCACAATTTTGCTCATGTTAGTACTAATTTTCTCTTTTAAGTCTTTTCTTTGCTTTTATCTTTCTTCTACTTCCTTAATCTGGATTACAATATGTTGAATCAAGTTTGGATTTCTATTTTTGTACTAACAGCTTGGTCATTTGACTCATAGTGAATAATTAAAATGCAGTTTTAGTAGATTACAAATAAGCAAATGATAGTTATAACAATAGTTTTAACTATAGTTTTTAGGTTGAGTAGGTTATAGTTTACTTTTAATATAAGTCAGATATATTAGTTTATTATACAAAAATGTATTTATTTGGGATATCACTGTTGCTTTCTCTTTAGGTAAAAAACCTTTTATTTATGATAAAAGTTTTATTTATAATTAAAATAAATTTTTTCTATATTATCTATTTACATAATATTATTTTTAAAACCTATTTTCTTTCTATCCTAAAGAAAAACTGA